TGGTTTTTGGTCCTGAAGCAGAAAGAGGAATGGAGTATCTGTATATGTTTTGTATATGTATATGTATGTGTGTGCAAGAGAGAGTCTTTTCATTTAAACACCAAATTAGAGGTGTGGGGATGCAGTTCAGTTGACAGAGGACTTGCCTTTCATGCCTTAAGCCCTGGATCATTCCCTAGAATCTCACAAATGCAGGATATTGGCACATGCTTGTAACTCCAGCAAACGAGATGTGACTGCAGGAAGATCAGAAGTTCAAGTCATCCTGTGGGTGGTCCTGGATTGTGTAAACAGAAGCCATGAAGAGCAAGTCAGCAATCAGCATGCCTCCATGGCCTTTGTCAATTCCTTCCTCTAGGTTCCTGTCCCGAGTTCTTGCCTGGACTTACCTGGATGATGAACTTCAAGCTGTCATGGAAGAAAATCATTCTTGCCTAGTTTCCTTTGGTCAGGATGTGTTACTACAGCGATAGAAAGCCAAGTAAGAAATTGGTGCCACTTCAAAGGGTGTTGCTCTGACACACCGACCTTGAGATTTTGGGAGGATTGTGGTGGCCTTTGAACTTAAGTCTGGAAAAGCTGTTGAGCGTTGAGCGCTCAGTGGGCCATTCTGTGGGTGCTTGGAAGATAAAGAGTGAAAGAAATGTAGACGATGGAGGCGCTGCTTGTGAAGTTTTAGAGGGAAGCAGACACTCAGTCAGTGTCGCTTGTGTGATATTTGAATGAAGAACCGCTGAAGTCAAGCCTTTCCTTTACTGGTACAATTGTCACTGGTCAGATGGGGCTGAGAAATCAGTGGTGATTAAGAAGAGACCAGCGTCACTGAAGATTATAAATCTGGGACTATTTCCTCGGGGATGGGGTACAGAAGTTGTGGCCAGAGACTGCATCTCATGCTGGCAGGTGACATTACCCAGGTGGTCATGAAGGAGTCGAGGAGACAACTGAGGTGTGACACTATGAGTTAGGGCTGGGGTCCCTGAAGACAGGCGAGAAGAGGCCATTACTGAAGGTACAACCTCGGTTGCACTAGAAGCCCCAGGATCAAAGGTGTCATGGAGAAAAGTTGAGGCTTGGGAAAATGTGGTATGGGCAGAGTCCCTCAAGAGAACCTTGGAGAAGCTATGGATGAAGGTGCATCCAAGTTGAAGAGACCCTAGAACTTTGGAGATGTCTGTAACATGAATGAACAGCAAGGACAACAGCAGCCATGGAACCAGTCTGAGCCTGTGAGGTGGTGTGTGTTGTGCAGGCCCTCAGGAGCCGTGGAGTGGAGCCAGCCTGGGCCTGTGAGGTGGTGTGTGCTGTGCATGACCTCTGGAGCTGAGATCACCGGTCACAGAAATCTGACAAATGAACTGTACACTGTTGCATTTTTACTAGAATGTAAATGTAACTGTTCTCTGGTTCTTCCTTCTTTCTTGGAATAAGAAAGTATTCAACTTGTTTTTTATTTTATATGAACCTATAGTTATGAGATTTTGGATACTTAACAAAGAGACTGACTTTAAAAGCGCTGGAGATTTTAAACACTATGGGCTTTCAAAAGTGAACTTTTTTTTACTTGATATCAGTATTAATGTGGGATTATAGGGGAGGAACAAGAATTTTGGAAAGGGTATGATTTAACAGTAATGGTAACAATGTTTCAAGTTGACAAGGAGTCACCTGTGCTGACCATTTTTTATGTCAACTTAATACAAGCTAGTATCACTTTGGAAGAGAGAACCTCACCTGAGAACATGCCCCCCACTGAATTGGCCTATGGTGCATTAATAATTGATGTGGGAGGGCCTACCCCCAGATGTGGCATGGCCCCTGGCTGGGTGGTCTAGAACGGTATAAGAAAGCAGGCTGAACAAGCCACGAAGGGAAAGCCCCTAAGCAGCACTCCTCAGTGAACTCTGCATCAGACCCTGCCCCCAGGTTCCTGCTCTGCTCTTAAGTGCCTGGACAATGGACTAACTACAAACTGTAAGATGAAACAAACTATCTCTGCCCAGAGTTGCTTTTGGTCATGGTCTTAGTCACTGCTCTGTTTTTATGAAGAGACACCGTGAACAAGGCAGCTCTGAGAAAGGAAAGTATTTGATTGTGGGGCTTGCTTACAGTTTCAAAGGTTTAGTCCATTATCGTCTTTGCAGATAGCGTGCTGGAGAAGTAGCTGAGAGCTGCATGCTGATCCCTTAGCAGAGAGAGAAAGAGAGAGAGAGAGAGAGAGAGAGAGAGAGAGAGAGAGAGAGAGAATAAATGTCTGGGTCTGACACAAGCCTTTGAACCTCAATGCTTACCCCCAGTGACACACTTCCTCGAACAAGGCCACACCTTCTAGTCCTTCTAATTTTTTTCAAATAGTGCCACTCCTTGGTGACTCAGCATTCAAATATATGAGCCTATGTGGGCCATTCTTACTCAAACCACCGTAGTCATGATGTTTTATCACAGCAATAGAAAAGCTAACCAAGATCCCTAAGTAAGCCATCCTCTTCATTAAAAGTGTGTGATTGAGTGAGGATTTCCCCAAAAATATATGAGTTGGTATAGCATAGCAACTTATATCCTAGCTTTGTTCTTTTTAAAAAAAATAAAACGAGGTTCAAATTTCAGTGGTAAAATTCAGAAAAAAAAAGCACTTAAAATCTGCATGTCAGTCTCTATGCTTGGAAATAGGAAGATAAGAATACTGTCTTACCTGAGATTTAGTCAGTTGTGCCGTATTTATCACAGCATACAGCATGTGCTGACGACTGAATAAATCGTGCCCCATTTCCTAATAAGACACCACACATGTTATGCTTTTGCCACATGTGTTTTGTGGTGCATGGTTCTTGTTAAGACTTCTTAGGAAGTGTTCCCACAAAGTCCGTGTCCTGAAAGTCATAGTGTTCGGAGATGGGAGGCTGAGCAGTGACTGAATCTTGAGGATAGTAACCTGCATGGAATATTGGAAAGTCAGGACTCGGTGGAGGAAACAGGTCCTTGGATGTGAGTGCTGTAAGGATTCTGGGCCCTGGTTGCCTGTCTGTCGTTTCCCTACCTCCCCAGTTGTGATTGCAGTCAACAGCCTCGGTTTACCACATGCTCTTCACCAGGATTTTCTGTGTTGTTTGTTCTTTAATGTGTCATCACTGTAACTCTAAGCAGTATAATAGTCTGTACAAGATATGAACATTATTATTTGTATAACTTAATCTAATGCTGGATTTGTAGGTTAACCTCTAGGTTTGCAGTAGATTGAAAATTTATATAGGGCATGTTTTTAATGCAATATACTTGTTTAGTGTTCACTATGTAAGGCCCTTGGCACTAGGAACCCAGAGTTTCAAATAGCATAGCCCCTGACATGAAGGCCCCAGGTATAGGGAAGATGTGTACAGATAACTCTGGCCAGGGGTAAACATCACCTCCATCCAAGTTACTGAGGAGTTGCAGAGAGAGGCACAGTGTCAGTCTGTCACCGTTTCTATAACCACAGAAGGTTAAGAGGGAACCCTGAGCTTGAGTAGAAGATCAGAAGTGGAGTTGGGGAGCGCTGTGTGTGAGTTGCTTGCCCACATATAGAAGAGAGTCGATAGATGAGGAGTAAGAGTCTGCAGTTCTCAGGTTTTGTCTCAGAGCAATAGGTGTGGACACCGTGCGTGTATTTATCTATAATGGGTTTTAAAAGCTTGGAATGGTCAGTGATTTTAACCATTCTCTCGCATAAAATTTCCCTTGATCTTTTCATCTTTAAACTTCAAATAACGAAGGGGATATGAGAACAGATAATGGGATTTATATGATCAAATGCATTATATTATCCGTGAATTTTACATAACTAAACCTTTTATGGGTGTATTGACGCTTTACTAAATGACCATTTCTTTTGCTTGGGATCTTTGGTGTGGATCTGTGTATCTTTTGGCATCTTGTATTCCTTTAAACGGTTTCTTGTAGTAAGTGTTTCTGCTATTTTTGTCCAAACAGTTCATCCCCATTTCTTGACAATATTACTGCTACATTTCTACTCTTTTCATAGTCATTGTTTGTAAATCAAGTCTTGCTGAAATTCTGATGGATTTTGCGTTTCAGAAGGCATTAATACTTGTGTTTGTTTTTTCTGAAACCAAACTTCTGACACCTTAAACAACACTGTACTTGATTGACTATTTTTTACAGGGCTTAATTTATTCTAGCCACAAGTAATGCTGATAGTTTTCCTTTTAATATTTGTATTATATATCTTTTTAATGTCAGGAAAAGAGCTCTGAGATTTCTGGTACAGAATGGTGATAAAGGAGACAGTTAAACCCACGACATGGTTGCAATATAGGTGCTTCATTGTCTTCTCTGGCTTGCCCTAACTTTTCTTCCTAGCTTGTCCTTTTAAAAGTTTACTTCTTATGCAGTTCTGAGTGCCTGTGAGTGTGAGTTATCCCAGTGTGTGTTTGGTGAGGTATGTTTGATTTTTCAGACACTATGATCTTCCCAGGTTTATTCTCACTCATTGGTGAACAACACAGGATAGTTTTCCTGCTGAGCCAACATGTTATCTTCAGGATTGTAGCACCAATCTAAAGCCACCCAGAGCAAACCCGAGGCATTTCGAGCTTATCATAAATGAGTAAGACTGGTATATTTAGATTTAAAATCTCCACTGCCTTTCCTCCCATTCAATAAGTAACAAAAAATAAATCATGGTTTTCTTCTTAAAGAATTGATTTTTTGAAAACTTGACTTTATTTCCAAAATAAGGTATTTTATATATTTAAATGTATTTGTTTTAAAAACCCTTAAAAGTATAAAACCAGTTTTTCAGTTCTGAGGGGGATTATCGATTAGAAAATGACTTGCTGATGTAGCTTCGTTTTCTGCAATGCATTATCTTGATTTTGCAAGTGAACTTTCAAGTTTTCTGTTTGTGCAACTAAGTTTCTGTGACCTTTCTTCCTGAATGAGCGGCGCAGCCTATCAGAAACATTAGGACTTTGTCCTGGCAAGGGTCAGTTTGCAGAAAGCTTTTAGCTGGTCTGCGCTGCCTGGTTTAAATAGCCAAGCACCTGCTGAGCAAGCCCCGTGAGTGGCTGTGCAGGCTTCCTCACTTAGGCTTGGCAGGGCTGGAGCACAAAGACCGCGATTGTTACCCAGTAAGCCTGAGTCACATCCTTCTACCAATCGCCTTAGGAGGGCTGGTTACCATGGAATCCACCATCTGTTCACTCCCCGCTGCCGGAATGTGATTATCCTTGCTGGGCTGAGAATGTGGGGTTAGCAAGGGAGCCTGTGTAGTGTGAGATTATCTGCAGTGCACTGGGCATTGGGAGACTCCGGCTGGCTTCACCGGAAGAACAAATGAGGGCAGTTGTGCTCCAGCCATTTGTGACTTGTAACCACAAGGAAATAAATCAGCTCTCCTAGGGTAAGTAGCCCGGCGCTGCATATCCAGTTTGTACGGCATTTGGTGTGAATATCATCTCTCTGTGGTCAAGGAAAGGAAGCCCTAAGCTCTTTGGTAAGACGCCCCCTAAAACGCACACACCCCGTCTTATATTGTTTTCAGACAGCCTGTACCATTACATGTTGGAATTATCCTGTAATGTTTAAAAGTATCTCCTGCTTGTGAAAGTGTACTGTGATCTTTGAATGTGGCAAATAGACAGTCATCTTGTAATGGCTTCTACGGTGAATTACACTGATGTTCTTACTGAAATACACCCATGGCCACAGCGGGTTCAAGGTTTGTTCTTTTTTAAGGAATGACTCCTGCCGGCGGCATTTGTAGATTTTGCAGAATTAAGGTTTTTTGCGGAGCACATGTGTGAAGTGTGGTGCTGATGGAGTGCTTCTGTCCGGGATTCAGGGTCAGGAGCATGTGGAAACAATGTGACAGTGCGTGGTGACAGATGGAGGCTCCACGATAAGGAAGGGCTGAGCCCCGGCGCCTTGCAAGAGCTTCCTTTGTGATTGTTGCTTCTCCTGATCCATGGCTACTTAAAATGTGCGTTGCATATTGTAAGCCGCAGAAAGAAATTTTAATTTTAACAAATGGATGACTGACATTTTTTCCTGGTGGCTCAGAGGTTGGTAGCTCAAACAAGGGACTACTATGTCCTTTGTAAAGCAGCATTGTATCTCCTTCCCCCAAACTGTGCCCTAAAATAAGAAAGTGTGAAACAAAACCAGCTGTCTGCTCTGGAGACGTCTTTTGTGTCAGTATTTCTGCCGTTGAAACCCCAGCACTAGCACCCCGAGTTTGGCTGGTCTGCCATTTTATCTTCTGTAGGGAGGGCTGCAATCGGAGGCTCTGCCTGTGCAGTTCAGTAAGGCTTGAACTGGGGTGTCTACTTGGGTGTTAATGTTAGTGAGCCAGTGACTACGTAGAGAGCTAGAAGCAGTCACCGGTCACAGGCACTACGCTTTTTCTTTTTGAATCGTATGAAATAGTTACTTAAGGTCTTACTTAAGGCGTTACTTAAGGTCTCATGCTTGTATTTCATTGATAGTTTTCAAGCCTAGTTTTGTGCAGTCCTGGTACTAACTGTGGCTGACTTTAGTATTGTGCGCTTATATTAATTTTTTAAATATGCAAATTAATCTAGGTACATACTATCTTGAAGACACATCTTTCAACCATACTAGATATTTGTCTACCTGAAAACTTCCTTAAAACTATACAAAGTTTCCAGTTAATCTTGTGTTACTCAGAAAAAATATTTTACTAATCAAAATGAATAAACGTTTTAAGGTTTATAAAGTCAAATCATGTATATTTAGGTATTATTGCTGCTCTAATTACCCTGTATCTTAGAAACCTGAAACAGTATTGGGGTGAAACGTGCTCATCATAGGCCTTGGCTGTGGTCGTTCTATCTGCTCATCGCCAGTTGACATCCATGACTGTGCGACCGTTTTCCAGTCACCAGCGTCAGTTAGCAAGGTGGTGTTCCTAAGTGGATGTCTGTCACGGTGTTGTAGGCTTTGGCAGCTAAACTTGGAAGCACATTTCTTAGGATCCTGCTTGTTCAGGTTTCTAGCATAACAGATAATAAACCCATGAAGTTTGGTGAAGTATGATCAAAATCTTTAGCAGAATTTTTATATTGAAAGGGAAACGTGGCCTGGCTAGATGTAAAAAGTCTCCGTGCCCAGCCATCTTACCTGCCTGCCAGAGAACAACACTCTCATGAAAGTCCAAGGCAGATATGGACTCGTGGAAAGAAAGAATTCACTCGAAAGAACTGAATGAGCAGTCACTCGCCTATGACTTTACAAAGGGACTTTCATTTTGTCTTATGTGAATAACAATGTGATGAATATTTTTCTTTTCTATAATGAACAATATCTCTATCTGGGTGCCTTTAAGATACATTACTTTAAAAGAATAAAAAGGTTCAAAGGTTTGTTATATCGGCCACTGACAAACCTAGCAGCTCTAGAGGGTGACCCCCAACTGAGATTAGTGAAGAGCACAGGCAGGGCCAGTCATGCTGAGCACTGGTGGTCCCTACCTAGACACTCCAAGTCCAGAGTGCAGAGCTGGATGCCTACAGAGCTGGATGCCTAGTCCTCACTTCGTGTGGGTTTAGACCTTGTTAGAGGTCTACTTCTACTCATGGCCTTTCCACACTGGTACCAGTCCTGGTGCTGGCCTCTTTCATGAGGACTGAGAAGCCACGAATTCTCAGGTCTGCTGACTTTGCTTGTCCCCATCTTTCCAAGGGTGGGAACTGCTAGGTTTCAGTTTTTCTTGAGCCTTCTGCTTACTCTCCCAGTGCTGTCTTTTCAGTTCTTCAATGTAATTTATGAACCATGTGTGTTTTATGTTGATAAATATGTAAAATGAACTATTCAGAGTTCTTTCTCATAAAAAATATCAAATAGGAAACAAGTAGAAAACTAAATGAAGTTCTAAGCGTGACTCAAATCATCACTGTGATGACAGGCAGCTCACCCTACTGTCAGTTCACCATGGTCATATTTTTTGCCGTTTTATTTTGAGCCACAATGCTGAAATGCTGCCTATAAGTAAGTTGGTCATAGGACTAATACTAGTGGTTAATTTTGAATAACTTTCTTCCTGTTTTATTTTTTTAATTTTATTCCAATTTTTGAGTTAAATCCTTCTGTCTCTTTAGAGCAGAGAGTCACTCTTTTCACGTTCATTCTTTGAGGCCCCTGTGACCTGCTTTGTCCTTGAGCTGGGATGATGGAGTAGAAGTGGGGTTTCGATCTGAAAATCAGGATATCCTGTCGTTGCTAGCAATGCTGCTCCGCTTAGAGGCACCTGGAGCTGCCTGCTAGTTTGTTTGTTTTGTTGTTGTCGTCGTCCTTGTTTAGTAGACGTACTGAAAATTCTTTTCTCCTCTCCCACAATTCTGCATTGTCCTGATTTCAGGTTAATATTTAGAATGAGACAATCCATGAGCAAAATTCCGTATTGTGTTAGATGCAAAGCCTGTTAACACATGCTCGTGGAAAACGTAAAGTCACATAGAAGCTGCATTCGGGGAGCAGCTCTTCAGTTTGCCCTAGATTCCAGCGCTGGCTGTCTGAGTTGTCCTCTTATGTCTCAGACTGACTCCTGGGCTGCTCTGCTATACAGAGGCAAGGTTCCCTTAATGTTGCAAGGAGTCAGCCTCTTTGGGCTACAAAGAGCCGCTTCACGGACAGCATCATTTTTCTTTTTCTCCCTCAGTTCAGGTCACCTTATTCTGGGAAGGTGCCTAGAAACACCTTACTCTTAGAAGAGTTTTTCCTTGTATGAGTAGCCACACTGTAGTGCTTGGCTCCTTTGTAACCATGTGTCCTTTCTTTCCCCCCTCCTTATCTGTCTCAACCTTTTCTGGCTTTATTTGTTGATTGGTTTGTTTGGGTTTACGGGTTTCCTAGTCTTGGAGTCAGATTAGTGAAACAGACCTGGTATATTCACGTAGGCAGTCAGGCTAACTTGGAGTTTCCCAGTTCCTATTGTATATCTGTGTATACACATTTCTGCAAAGGTCCCAATAGAAACAGAATAATTTAGCTTTTAGCCCCATTTTAGAGAATTTCAGGCCTATGAAGATGAAACAGTTATCCCAGGTTACAAAACCTGTGAAATTGCTCACATTGGTTGTGGCAGGTTAAATATAGAACCGAGAGCGAAGTCACTGGCTTTATTCTCTGATGAGGAGCGAACATGGGAACAGGTCTCCCTAAAATCTCACTAGTAGACTTTTCAGTGAGTATTGAGAGCACAGAGTAGTCAGAGAGTACTGAGATACTTTTCTCAGTTATCAAATTCACAAGAAACACAGGTCTCTTAGGAATGTTTGACATCTAACGAGGCAAAGCTGTCATACCAAGTAGATTCCCGGATGCTTAGTTTGTATGTTGTCTCCCTATGACTGTCTGCACATGAACGTTAAATGATAGCCAGGATCTTGCTGGGTGACTCTGAGGTAGATGGCGTGGGGTGGGGTAAACGCTCGGAGAGAGATAGTCCAAGGTACAGGGGTAGCCATGCTCTGCGGGGCACACCCGTCATCTAGATACCTGCTCCTGTTGTGGCCCAGTGGGTCTCTTCCTTGGACATCACAATGCTCAGCCTGGGAGGCTTATCTCATTTCCACTTCATCTATTCCTTGACCAACCACGTGTCCACCTCTCCTAGGAACCCCCTTCATACTATCCGGACCTCCTGTGACGATGTTACTGTCATTAGTGTTAACTTTTCATTTCTTCACATAATAGTTATCGAATGTTGACTTGGTGCTAGGTGCTAGGATTTGGTGCTGGAGTGCAAGCTTACTGGTAAAATTTTCACAAAAGAGGGCTAAGCCATTATAAAAGTAAAAAGAAATAATTGAACTTTTAAGCAATGTCCATTTTCTGAAGACAGATAAGTGTTGAGGGGTCGGGGCAGGAGGCTTTAGATTAGGTAATCAGGAATCATTTAAATGGGATGCATTAAATCATAAGACATCACATGTGGTCTGGGTCCATGGGGTGTTGTCTTTACCTCTGCAGGGAGAAGATGAGGGTGCATTAATAGGATTATATAGAAATCCTGTTGACTGGCTGGTGAGATGATGACTCAGTGGGTAGAGATGCCAGCTGCCAGGTCCGAGGACCTAACTTCAGCCCTGGGATATTCGCATGGTAGAGGAAAGGAATTGACTTCCTTTATGTCTACATGAGTGCCCTTCCTCCCAAACACAAATTAAAAACACAAAAGTCTTGGGCTTCTTGTGCTAGGAATGGGCACAATGGGTCTATTTCTTTTATAACTTTATAACTTAATGCTGTGTATGTGCCCTTTGTAAACCAAGATGTTACTAGACATACTTGAGAAGACATTTCAGGACAGTGGGGATGAACATCAGCATTTAAAAGCCCAGCACAAAGCCAGCTGTCCTGGCTCACACTCGTAATACCAAC